CTATGTGTCTGTCATTGTACCAGTACCATGCTGTCTTTACCACTACGGCAGTGTAGTAGGATTTGAAATCAGGGAGTGAGATACCTCCTACCGTTCTTCTGTTCTTAAGGAGTGCTTTGCTTATTCGGGGCTTTTTTCCATTCCATACGAAATTGGAGATTGCCAATGTTGCAGACTTGCACCATCTTCACATCTATGTTGATCCAATTGTTAGAGCCACTGTGCCAATCTGTCTCCCTGAAGGGCTTCCACTTTTTTACTCTCTACTTTATGCCAGACAAGTCACCCTATGGCAGTGGTTGGCCTGGTAATAGGTTCAAAGTTAAACAAACTTTTACCAACTTTGCTTCTAAAGAGCATTCTGACTATACTTCTTCTAAGACAGATTTGTTCATTCTTGGTGCAGTTCATGATATACGCACTACTCATAGACAGTAACACAATTTGAATGTTTTTGTTCTTTAGTGTTTTTTCATTGTTCAGATTTCACAAAACGACAGTGTGGGTCAGAAGCACTTTAGTACTCAAAGCCAACAACTTTGCTTTTTAACACCTTAAAAAGGCTTCTATAGCACACTTTGCTAGTGCAGTATATGTTGTTAAGAGTTCTTGACTACTGTTTTTATGGGCATTAAGAGTGGATTGAGGTAAGCTTGGTGGCCTAGTGGCAAGAAGCTGCACTGCAATCACAGAGCTGTGTGGTTCAAATCCTCCAGATAATGTGAAGGAGGAGGGAAAATCTCCTATACCAGTCAAATCTGATTTGACAGTACACACAAAAAAAAAAAAAATAAAAAAACTTTAAAAAAAAAAAGAGTGGATTCAGTTAAAATTAAGATCTTAATAACTTCCATCTTTTCTCCAATAAGCATGATGTTGTTTATCATTCTAGCTATGGAGGGTTTTATTTCCTTTATACTGAGATATGATTGCAAAGAACATGCCCTGTACCAGACGCACACCTTAGTCTCTAGAGACACACCGTTGCTCTTCAGTACTTTAGAGAGGTCCCTAACAGCAGACTTTCCCATTGCAATACATCTTTTAATTTCATGGCTGTTGGTGCCAAGAGTGTTGATTGTGGAGCCAAGGAGACTAAAGCTATGAACAATCTCAATCTCTTCACCATCCATCCTGATGCTGCCAATTGGTCCAGGGGTGAGAATCTTTGTCTTCTTGACATTGAGCCTCAATCCATATTGAA